AAATTTGGCATGATTGTTGATCTTGCGCCCTTTTCGAAAAGTGACATTTTACAAATATAACTCCCCCCCACGAAAATTAGAATCCCCCCCAATGTTAATTAAAAATCTAATTAACTATACAGCCCGATGTGTAACTGACTGATCAGGTATACTAATGTTTGGGCACTTCTAGATGAGCTAGAGACTTGAAATTTTCGGTGTTTTGTAGGTCTAGTGTCCAAACCCCCGGAAAAATTCCGAAAAGTAGCATTTTCCCCTTTCAACCCCCCTAAATTGACAATTCCCCCCCCCCCTATGTTATTCTTATGGGAAATAACATAGAAAATTCCCGACTTTGGTAAGCTCATCTGAACCGTTTAGAAAAGTGCTAGAGACTTGAAATTTGCGTAGTATTGCACTATGGCGAAATAACATTGAAAATTCCCGACTTTGGTATGGTCATATGAATCGTTTAGAAACGTGCTAGAGACTTCAAATTTGCGTAGTATTGTAGTAAGAGACCTTACATTACCGGTGGAATATGCAAAAGTCCCATTTTCAAATTTTAACCCACCCAAAAATCCAAAATGTAGTTATGTTACCGGTGAAATTCGTAAAAACCCCATTTTCAAAATGCAACCCCCCCAAAAAAATTCCATTAAAAACGCCCTTTTTTGGGGAAAACATGTTTTTTTAAAACAGCTGTAGCTCAAAAACGGTAAGTGCTAGAATCGATTTGAGGAAAAATCGTGAGTTTGGAATGAAATTTTCTACAAGACACTATTACGCGTTTTTCGAAAATCGCACTCCTTCACCTTCAAAAAACGCCCTACTTCCAAAAATTGTGAAAATGCTCGATTTTTTTACGTGTTTTTAATTTTTAAAACGACTTTTCGTTCGTATATTTGTACTTTTTATGCTCCCAACATTGAAAGGAAAGTGCCTCAAGTGACCTTCTATAATTTTAACGTACTAAAAAAAATTAAAAATGGCGGATATTCAATAAAAAATATTATTTTTAACGTATTTCTTATGGAGAATTAACATGCTACGACAAGCAAACTAGAAGTAAACGTCAGTAGGTGAAATATGGGCGTTTGGCGACAGAAAAAGCATTTTTGTCACTTCTAGAGTTGCTACGGAGCTGAAATTTTTTGTAAAGGTTTGTCTGGGTACCAAACCATCCAGAAAGTCCCAAAATTTAGTTTTTTCCAACCGAAACCCATTAAAAGAAATCCCTTAAAACCCTAGTTTTTGGGAAAAACACGTTTTTTTAAAACTGCTGTAGCTCGAAAACGGTAAGAGCTAGAATCGAATTGAGGGGAAATTGTAGGTTCAGAATTAAATTTTCTACAAGACACTTTTCTCAAATAAGGGATCATATCGAAAATCTTACTCCTTCACCTTCAAAAAACGCCCTACTTCGAAAAATTGTGAAAATTCTTGATTTTTTTGGTGTTTTTAATTTATAAAACGACTTTTCGTACATATATATGTACTTTTTATGGTCTTAACGTTGAAAAGAAAATCCTTTGAGTGACCTTCTATAATTTCAACGTGCTAAAAAATTTAAAATGGTTGGTTTTCATTCAAAAAGGTAGTTTTTAACTTCGCAACTGCCAAGTTATCACTACGTCTTTTACGCAAAAAGCAAAAATGTTTCCGGACAACATCCTGTCCCCCGTGACAATTTCTCATCACGGCTACTATTAAAAGGGGGCCTGGGGGCGGAGCCCCGTAATAAAATACCCTTTATGAATTACCTAGCAACTGCTAAGTTATCATAATATTTAGACGCTGAAAACATTCCTAGACAAAATATTGTCCCCTGAGGTAATTTCCAACTATCCCCCAACCAAAAAAGGGGGCCTGGGGGCGGAGCCCCCAGCGAGCCAAAGGCGAGTATTATACATTATATAACCAATCGTAAGACACCTTTCGACTTAATAATATTGAATCAAAGGTAAGGCTCCGTTTAGGAGAGTGTGTTATAATGGTGTATTAGCGTTTGTTTTTTAAATGTTTGATTTACATTTATACTAAAAGGAAAGGAAACAACGTAAATATTATTTTATTCACATTATAAATGCTTCTCAAAAACCAACAACTTATTTGTTCTTGAATATCCTATTGAATCTTTGGAAAATATTGAAATTAAATTTCATCACTTATGGTTTTTCATTGATCACCATGTTTGAGTATTTATTGGGTGTCACTATACCTTTTTGTAATGTTATACATGAACTAAATACATTTGGAAATGGCAGCGGTATCACTGCTTCATAAATATTTAGTATTTTTTTATAATTTACATACTCAAACTGGCTGCTTAAATGTTCATAATAGATTGAATAAAGTGAACCTTTTATAGTATTTTATAGTATTTATACCTATTTTATAGTATTTATACCTTTTATAGTATTTTATGTAGAGTTTCCAGGTTTAAGTGATTGAACTTACAGTTCTCATACAAAGAAAACTGTAGCTCAATTCTGCAACCAGTTCTATACATAGTCTAGTAAAATTATGATTTGACCTGGGCAAAATTGCTTCATAAGCCATTGAAGTGGTATTCGACTCAACAAATGTCACTTTACAACATATCCAAAATCCGACAAAATCTGACCATGAGAAAGTGTCTAAAAGTAAACTTTAAAATGGCGGCTATTTTTCTTAAGAGCCATTTATTTTAAAACACCAATAGTCAGATAAATATGGGATATGGCCTTAAAACAATACAAGAAAACATTGTACGGTTTTATTTGGTATAGTGTTAGGTGCGCAGAGTGACGTACTAAAAGTTGCCAAAAATCGGTCTACAGGAAACCCCCTCTAATAACAATTAAAAATGTGAGTTATCCCCAACATTGGACACATTAAAAAATATATCACATGCATTTTCATGCATATTTTTGAGATATTCACTTATTTGTTATTTATTATTTGAGATTACCACCGATATTTATTGTGTGGTTAGTCCTTTTGATAGGGAACACATTTTGGCCGCCATCTTGGATCTGCCATATTGGTTCCGCCATATTGGATATAAATATACAGTAAATTTTTAAACGTAATGATAGTGTTGTGACACATCATTATATATTAGATTTTCACGCTGATTTCAATGCTAAAATCCGTTTTTAAATATAATTTTTCGTTTTGAAGATGTATTCAAACGAAAATTCTCCCTTATCCATTTCTTATGGACGTAACGTAGTTTGAAAATTTTTTAAGATAATTTTTCTTACATCTCAAGTTTTTACTAACGCTTGCAGTTTGTTCTAGCCTTAAAATATTTGGCGATAAAAGTGTTTTTATTTAAGCCATTGATCATTAAAATCGGACGTGTTATAGACGAGCTACAAACCCTAACACTATATTAAATTTAACTTTTTAAAAATAATTTTTTATTAAAAGATGTATATCTTGGGTCGCTAATATGTCACCAAGTTCTTTCTTGTCTCAAATTACTCAGTGGAGAGAGAGAAATTCTTTATTTACAACAAATTATTTTGCAGCGTTCTCTATCACGCACAGGTCATTGTGACCCATGTGATATTTTTTTTATTTCCTTTATGTAATGCTTCAAAATAATTTGTTGTAAATAAAGAATTTCTCTCTCAGTGGATGTTTAGCTTTAATTTTATGTATCACTTAATAAAATCCGACAAATTTAAAATGAGTCATGAATCTTTATTTAACAGTAAATTATTTATTTTACAAAATTTGTCTTTAGTTTAAGCCATTTATTCCCAATTCTAATAACTCCCAATAAGTAATCCATAGCTAAAACAAAAGTCAATAATGTTACTATTTATTTAAGACCGTAAAGATTTTTGGAAGTTATTTAGAATTGGGGATATATGTCTAAAACTAAAGACAAATCTTGAAAAACAAATAATCTACTGTTAAATAAAGATTCGTGACTCAATTAAAATTCATCAGATTTTAATAAATTGTTAATAAAATTAAAGCCAAAGATTCACTGAGTAATTTGAGACCAGAATGAACTAGGTGACATATTAACAACCCGAGATATACATCTTTTAATAAAAATGTATATCTAAAAAGCTAAATTTAATATTAATATAGGGTTTGTAGCTCGTTTCTAAATCATCCGATTTTAATGATCAATAGCTCAAATGTAAACCCTTTTATCACAGAATATTTTAAGGCTAGAACAAACTGCAAGCATTAGTGAAATCTGGAGATATAAGAAAAATTATCTAAAAAAATGTTCAAATTACGAAACGTCCATAAGAAATGTATGGGGGTAATTGTTTTGTAGTCTTTTTGCATTGCCTGTTTTGATATGTTTGATGTTTCATACTATAGTATTCATGTTTACTGTTTCCTAGAATAGTTATTTCTCACATATTTGTTCAAACGTCTGCGAATAATGTCCTTCTTGGTGCAAAAACTCGTACTACCGTACAGTATCTGAAATACCGCCAACCCTAGAGTGATTATTGAAACTGGTCCATTCTTCTTTTATAACCCATTGTGCAACTGTGGATGTAAACATAATGGCCTGTCTTGTCCTACTTTTTGAGGGGAGTGCCAGATCAATGAATGTAAGAACATTGAAACAAAATGATAACAGTTATTTAAATGAATAGTTTGTCCAAGAAAACCTATTAAATTTAGTTCTTTTTAAGTAACTATGGAAACTAAAATGTACATACAAAATATGCCCTTGTCGTTTTAATAAAGTCTATTCTTGTAAATATTTGATATTTCAACATCCAATCTGATATTTAATTTATGTATATGTGCTTTCCGTCATCCCATACCGCCAAAAGTCCTAAAACAAATATCACAAAAATATGAAATTTTGCCGCCATTTTGAATTTGATTTTTTAGAAATTTCCCATGGTCAGATTTTGTCGGATTTTGGATATGTTATAAAGCATTATTTTCTGTGTTGAATACCACTTCAATCGCTTGTGAAGCAATTTTGCCCAGGTTTAAGGGTAATTTGTCGTATTTTTCCTGGACTAACAGTTGTTATATGATTTTAGGCTCAGAGTGTCTGCAGCTGTTAAGAGTCAAGGTCCCTCCATACAGGTTGAAGGGAGAAACAGCTGTTCTAGAGTGCCAGTACCAGCTGGACGGCCTGGAGAAGCTCTACTCTGTCAAGTGGTACCGCGAGAACGAGGAGTTTTACAGATACGTCCCCAAGTACAATCCTCAGCAAATCTCGTATAAAGTGGAGGGTATCAACGTTAATGTGAGTGTGAGAGTGTTGAAATTAATTTGACTAAGCTAACTAGAAAATCATACCATTGTAAAATTTGTCGCGTCAACGTTTTCAAAAAGCACACAAAGCCGAGTCAAATTCTTTACTAGTCTACACATGAGGTCGAGAATTGGCACTCATCACATTAGTGTTTGTAGGCCTACAGCTTGTTGTATCCTTATTGACGTTTTATGTGCTTTTTGTAGCCCTTGACGTGATCAACTCAACAAAGGTCAAAATCTCTGGAAGTTGTGACCTGATGATTTGGTATCCATATCGAAAGGCGTAGTCCGATATAGGAGCAAAAAAATCGCTTGGAAGAAACAGATGTTTTAAACTTTTTACAATATTTGTCAACAACACTGTCCGCCTAATAAGCTCATGTTACAATTTAATAGATGGAGTAGGCAACTGAAGCTATTTTATTGAGAAAAGAATGTTCATTCCAGGGAATATTTGACATTTTGACATTTTTACTACGGGAAGTGTCTTTTCAAGTACAGTACAATATTTCACATAAATGCAAAAAATATATTAATGTGGGTATAATAAACCTTATACGAACAACGTTTCTCTACAAATCGCTTCCTCATGAAGAACACAAAACATTATTTAAAGTTTGCTTCAGTATTCACTAAAAATAAGCTGTAAATAATTCAGTATGCGAGCTAATTAAAAAAACCCCTGATAATAATAACATCTATCAAAAGGATTCAACATTATTTACCGGGAATAGGGTTTTGAATGTACTATAACATATCTATTATGAAACAATAATCTAATTCGTTTTCTTTATAATTAAATGTAAATGCTAACACAATCGATAACTAGGCAATTTCAATGGGAAGAACGGCCATTATCCGCGTTTGATTATGCATACCGTACACTTCGTATCCGTAACAAAGCCAGTAAGATGAAGCAAGAACAAGCAAAATGTTAACCAAAGTGGCCATAAATCAGAAGGCTGAAGAAACAAATTGGCCGGACCTTATCATCACCTGCGAGACCTGGAGCCAGTTGTGCGGATTGTTCTGACTCGTGATATCACTAGACCAACTAATTGTACTTAAAGACGAGGTAATAGTAATTAATTACCTTGTTTGTTTGAATAAAACGACCCTGATATTAAATAAAGTTTTCGATATGTAGTTTGATATGAGTACATTTTGAAATTGCTGCAAGCTTTAGGTATAGACAAAATATCATCTTTTTACATGCCTGAGAAATGTAAAAACAACCAAAGAATCTCTTATAGAGGCGCTATCTTAAAATTGTGTCGATATTTAAATATATCTAATGTATATCTAAAGTACCCTCAATTATCAGATTCATCAACACAATTTGAAATGCAAACTTAATGACAACAAAGTTCATTACATTCAACTTAATTTGTGAGACTTTACTTAAGTATATTTTTAAGTTGTGAGTTTTTTTTATAAGTCTATGAGTTTGAAGAATACCTTTTTTTATTTCACTTATTTATATACCTATAAATTAGTGGCGCATTTTAGAGTTTTTTTAAACTCTAACCACTTATCTCATTCACCATATATATTTATAATAGATATACAGGGTGGTAATAAAGTTCGAAGACAGTTAAATATAAAAAAAAATAATGCAGATAGAGCTACAATACTTGGTACAAAGTTACAGAGCATAAAACCTTATCTTAACACATATTCAGTGATCCAATAACTCTTCAGGGGGACGGCCCACAAGGAGTCGGAAGAAAATCTCAAATGGAAGCATAGGTCAATATGCACATCAAATGAAAGGTCTTTTTTAGTAGAATACAATACCGCAAATCGCACTTCAAAAGGTTGATCCTGCGCAAAATTAAATGAAATGAAATGAAATGCTTTATTTCGTGAACATGACACATGTATGGAAAAACTCAAAAAAACTAAAACTAAGTAAGAGTACTAAACAATTTCAAAAATTACATGAATTGCTTGTTCCTGCAACACTCCATGCATAGAAAATAAAATAAAACCACACTTGCAAAACTCATAAAAAAACATACTTACAAGTTCTCAGGAAGTTCAAAAAACTCATGGATTGAGTACAGTGGGTTAGCCAATAAAAACTCCCTCACCCTCTTTTAGAATTTAGTGATTGGCAGGTTCCGAACTGTACAAGGCAATTTTTTCATTAATTTCAAGCTCAAGATTTCCTTACTAGCCTGGGTTTTCTTTAGTCTAACATAAGGTATGTTTAGATCCTGCTTATTCCTAGTGTTGTAGTGGTGGACCTCGCCTCTGAGCTCGAGAGTGCCAAGCTTCCTCTTACATGACATGAGACTCTGCAAAATGAAGAGATTGTAAACTGTCTTCAAGGACTCGGCAACAAAGATTGGTTTACAATGGTCCAGATAATCTGCACCATTCACAATCCTTATTGCTTTCTTTTGCAGAAGCATGACCCTCTCGACCCCAGATGCGGAGCCCCACAGACGCAAACCATACAGAAGTACACTCTAAAAAAAAGCAACATAGGCTTTTTTAACCATTCCTTGGGTACAGAGTCTCTAAGTCTCCTCAGGAGAAAAATTACCCTAGACAAGCGACTGCAGACATGAGAAATATGACAGTGCCAGTCTAACTTTGGATCCAAATATAGACCTAGTAATTTAACATTTGAAACTTCATGATCCATCTGATTTAAAGTGAAAACAATGGTTTGGGATTTACTTTCATTTATCTTCATGCGTAGGCTTTCGCGGCCGTTGTCATTGAAATCCATGGTGATGGTTTTCGGCGTCAACCGCGTCGTCAGTTGTATTTCACTGCCAGACGTTTCGCCCTTACTATGAAATGGCATCCTCAGTGGCTAGGCTGAGCTGGCAGGAACTGGCAGTGAAATACAACTGACGACGCGGTTGACGCCGAAAACCATCACCATGGGTTACTTTCATTTAACTTAAAAAAAGTTAGCTCGGAACCATGCTGATGCTATCCCCATGGACTCAGACATTTGACCATTTAGAATTATCAGGTCTTTAGAGAAACTGAAAAGAGTATTGTCATCAGCATAGCATACGACATTTCCTCCAAAATTTGGAATGAGGTCATTGGTCATGATAATGAACAAAAGGGGGCCGAGAATGAGTAATCTGACCAGGGCTAGAGATATGCCCATTTATGAGCACCCTCTGCTCACGCCCAGCCATGTATGACTCCATGAGCCTGAGTTCAGAGCCCTTTACTCCATAAAAATTCAATTTATCCAGCAGTATCTGATGGTCGACCGTGTCGAAAGCCTTACTGAGATCACACAGGATGGCCCCAGTAAAGCCTCCAGCCTCAAATCCATGCAGTACTACTGCTTCAAGCTTATCTAGAGCATCTATGGTCGAGAGACCCGCCCTGAAGCCACACTGGCCGGTCATGAGTAGATTGTGCTCTTCAAAATATTTGTACAACTGATCCTTAATTACAGATTAAAATATTTTTGAAAATACTGGGAGTACGGAAATAGGGCGGAAATTCTCTGGACTATTTGGATCACCTTTCTTATGGATAGGTATAACTTTGGCAATCTTTAGTCTTTGGGTAAAGACTCCTTCAGAGAGACATAGGTTCAGGCAATAGGGAAAAGGCTTAACAATGCTAGGAAACACACTCTTAATAAGATTGACAGATACCTCAAATATATCTTTGCTTGGAGAGTTGTTGAGCTTCTGGACCACCCGTATCACACTTTCACAGGATAAAAGGGTAATGTTGAACCGTGAGGCTGCAGGGTCACGTTTCTCCAGCATCTCTAGGGCAGAAGTGGCTGAACCGTTGATAGCATCTCTGGTCTGCTGGACGGAGTCAATAAAATGGTCATTGAAAGCTCCCGCAGTCACTGAAGATATCAACTGGGATTTGGACGGAGCACCTTCTTCATGGATAACTTTTAAGGTGTGCTGTTGATGTACCAAATCTTATTGATTTATTGTTGTCGTTTAAAAAATATTTAACTGTCTTCGGACTTTATTACCACCCTGTATACATACAAACTATGACAAATATTAATTGGTTAGGTGATTGTTGCAGCACAAAGAGTCGAATGACACGACTTTGACCCTCAACAAGGTGAACCTAAAGACGTCAGCCAACTACAGGTGTGAAGTGTCTGCAGAAGCACCTTCCTTCGCCTCAGTGCAGGGCTCAGGTCATCTAGAGGTCGTCTGTGAGTAAGGCTCTACCTGTTCTCATACTTATATTAATAACGTACTACAACCGAAGAAAGCCTTTGTAATCGGGTTATCATTGAGATGGCTTAATGTATTCTTGTTTAATAAATAAATAACATTGTACATCCTTAAAATTTTCTAAGTAACAGCTTTGGCCATCAACAGAAGTAGATATGCCAGCCCCAAGATAAGTTCGTCATAGTTTTTACAGCAAAAATAATTATATTGAATTTTAGCCTCCTGATCGCATTTAAATACTATAAATTGGTGTAAAATGCCTGCATTTATGCGAACTTGTTTGTAGCTGAGTTGCTACCGGTTTCAACTCACATTGGAGTCATCTTCAGGCAGTTATAAGATGTCTTCTCGCTTCATCCGAAGGTCGTCAATACATATAGATAAATAAACAAAACACAAACACCTACACGTCTATTGACGACCTTCGGATGAAGCGAGAAGACATCTTATATTTGCCTGAAGATGACTCCAATGTGAGTTGAAACCGGTAGCAACTCAGCTACAAACAAGATCGCATAAATGCATGTATTTTACACCAATTTATAGCAAAAATAAGCACAGTTTGAATGAACCGGCAATAGTGTATAGATTGTAATTACTCATTTCTGTCGAATGTGCCGAACTGAATAGGCTTACAATTAAAATAATGTTCTAGCCTCTTTTGAATCACGTAGGCTACTATAGTATGAACAACTAATAGGAAACTTTGAAATTTTACTCTGAGAGTGGTTAATTAAACTATCTTCTATTTTAATACAACATTGGAGACAGCTGGTCAATATAACGGAATGTTTACTTCCGTATCTAAAAGATTAAGTTACAGCATACATTGTGCCAAAATAGTAGGGATAGTTGGTAATATAATTACAGTATCATAAATAACTAATTATAGCTATAATTTTATGAAAAGTTATATAGTTATTAAAATACACAGTAGTTATGTACAAAATAATGTAGTTATGTTAACAATAGGTCTTAGATAGCCAACACATAGGTATGCATTTTATTGTTGATCGTTAAATTTTCAATAATTAATTAGATCACATGCAGGTGGAAATATAACAATACTTCTGATTTCAAAATAGATCTTCAATATACTTGAGATTAAAGGTTATCTCCCAAAGCTACACACACATGTTTGAGATGAAACACCGCAAGTTGGATATAGAAGAAGACCTTTTGTAAGCAGTTCCATGGCAACCACTCCTCAAACTTTGACGTGATACTGGGGAAAATCACAGAATGTGAGTTGCATGGAGCTCGGCTCAGCCCAACAACCCTGGGAGACATTTTATCGACGAAAATACTTAACTGTTATCCTCAAAACTTATTATAACTTTCGATGTAATTCATTTACGCAATTAAATTCAAGTTGAATGAGTGAGTGATAACAAGTGAGCTTTTATTCATAGGAAGGGAATAAATTACAGTAGATTAATAGTGGAATGAAAAAAAACATAGAATTAACATATAAACCATCTCAATAGTTAAAGAATCCCAAAAAGCATTTATATTGACATTATAAATTGGGGAACAAAAAGTTTCAAAAATATAATGTAAAGAATGGTGATATATTGACTATGTAATAAACATAATTGACCACCAAAACCCACATCAGGGGTTTATTTAGCTTCAAAAGGTTTTTATTTCTCATCTACATTTACAATAGAGTTTTGGGTCATCATTAAAACGCCTTTTTCATCTTAAATTTTACAACTAGTTTGGTAACGTGAGATCCTGGTCTAATCTAGTTATGTTCGATTTTGAAGAATTGCTGTTTCCTTGATATCCGCCAAAATAGGGTGAACTTATATCAAATGAAATAATCTTGTCTTTCGTTAAAGTTTGATTATCTACCACCAAACTGGGATCTCCCGTTGTAAGTGGGTAATTATTTGTATAACTTCTTTTCAGAAATGAGTTTCTACTTTTGTTAGTCTTATGTAGAATCTTACAAAATCGTTTATAACTAGAATATAGCAAGGAATTAATAGCGCATGTTCTTGGTTGATGAACTCTATTAGGTTAAATTAAAACCTAACCAAAACGCTATGTAAGAAAGTAGGCATACTTCGAGGGGTAGAACTCTGCCCATTGTCAACTATATCAGCTCCAAGCAAAACGTCAACCTCTCCAGGAACGTCAAAATATGGATCTGAGAGTTCAAAGGGTTGGAAACATTTTCTTACCACTGGGTCAAAAGAATTTGGAAGTAAAGACGAAGTGATTTCAGGGTGAACCAATCGATACATACTTTCGATGTTACTTGTGTTTTTAACTGTCTGCGAGTCTAGTATTTCAACTGTGTTCTTAAAACCCGTTACATTTCCATGTGCAATAATTCGTACGGATAGGTTTTTGTTTACTTAAATGTCAAACAATTAATTGTACTATCTGTTTACAAAAGTGTTACTTACCACTTTTATATCAGCTCAAAGCTATATTCAGGAGAGCTGGATAGTGTTATATCAATGCAATTAAATCCTTTACAATAAAACAAACTCAAATTAATGAAACAAAAGGTAAAACAACTTGTCATAATGCAAAAATTAATAGACATAATGTTGACGAAATTCGTTTCAAGTTGAGTTAGATAGCCCATCATGATTAAAACCCCTTAGCATTCGTCATTACTTAAGAATTTCAAATAAACTATCTTCAATTCAGCAACTGGATGGGTTTATCAATCGATGGTAATGAAGTCATGGTAGGTACTGAAAACAACCATTATAGACGTTACTTGATGGGGCTGGTTTTGTAGTTGTTGATGTTATATTTATTAATCGTAGCCTGAAAATGAATACACAAACAATATCTACATCCTATTCACACATTATTCTTTAACTAGCAACAAAGTCCGTTATAGGTAACTACAATGATTTCTAGAAAAATATGATTAAGGAATCCATACATTATTTTACTCACTAATAATAATTAATGGTACAGATTAAACACATAACTTTAGAAACATACACATTACTTAAGCCACACATTAACACCAAATGCAAATTGTAAACAACAAAATGTAAACGAAGAAAAATCAAGGAAATACCAATACAACAATCAACTGCTAATTATTAACATATGTGCCATATGAACAGATGATTCATACCGGCAAACCATTACTCCCATAAATCTTCAAAAAATCAAACTTTTATAATATTTGCAACTCCACACGGATGATGGTTTCCATTGACCTATCAATTAATAAAATTGGTCTAGTAGAACTGTAGATTTAGTTGTACAAAGTATAACAAAAATATCTTTAATTTAGCATTTCGTCACCACTATAAATTTGGAGATTGATTACCCTTTTTACAAACAACTTTTAAATTTAAATCGTGAAGAAATCTATGAAAGTGGGAGGTGATATTCTGAAAGAGAAGTAACTTTTCTACAAACTAGTATTATGCATTTCTTGAAAATACTCAATAAAGGCAGCAAAAAATTTCCTCCAAATAAGACATGTGAAAATCCACGTTTTCAATGTATTCTTTTGAAAAGCACGTTTTTTATCCTTCGCCATAAATCCTTAAAAATCTGTTATCATTATTTTAAAATCTAAAGGATCCAGTTTTCCAACAAACTACTAATTAATAAAATCGGCCCAGTAGAACTGTATAAAGTTGTACAACAATTTTTAAAATTGAATTATTATGAGAGTAGATATTGTTTTAACTTTTCAGGTTGTTACAAAAGTATATAGCTAAACTATTTCTACGGAATTCAACGTTTAATGTATATTTTTGATATAAAATAATAACTACAACGCAGCTATAGTGTAATTTAGGAAATTGTTTTCATACATACGGTAATGGTTATTAAAGGATGTCTTTATATTCTTCATAACAGATTCAGATTCCTCAAACAAGCATGCCAACGAGGCTGTTGTTGCCGTTACCATGGCAACCAGGTCCATGTATCACTGTGGCGACAGCTGATCAGCTGATATACAATTCTATTTCTTTTTATTGCTTTCCTTCATTTCTCTTCCCACTCAAGGGATAAGTAGGCAAGGAAGATTTATATGAGACGCTACGTTTCTTTCTCATATTCCCGGCTAAAATATGTATGATCCACCTCTGCATGCGACATTTTGACTTTGATGTTAGGGGTTTTTTTACTAGGTCTGTACCTTTCAACATTTTGTTGTTTCTTATAGTTATTTATTTATTTCTTTACGTTTCCTTGGTTCTGTTTCAGACCTCCCCAGTAACGGACCTCACATCTCTGGCGAGAGGTCTCACTATATGATAGGTGATGAGATAGACCTCAACTGCACATCGGGCAAGTCCTACCCAGCCTCAGACCTTTACTGGCTCATCAACGACAAAGAGGTCTGGTCTCTTGTTATAAAGTATTTATTAAATCAGACCAGGGTTTACTGATGTTGGAGTGGTTTACCAGGGGCTATGTATGATCGGCCTCATGACGTATTGTTTGTGCCAAACACCTAAATTAATTGAAACCGTTTCCATAGTTCAGATTAATCAAGGGTAGATCCTTAGTAGGTATTTTCCATATGATGCTTGCTCTTGCTCCGTGCTTATGATATATTTTCAATTCAATTCAAGAAGTAAATTAATAAATGAATTTGTATATGTAGTTGTATGTCATGTAACACTATTAAATCATCGTTGCAAAAAATAATAATATTGTAAACTTAAGACCTATTTACAAGTTTTAAAAATGCAGTGTAAAATAGAACAAATATGGATTCAGCAAGGATAGCTGAAGCATTAAAAAATCTACTAGCATCGAGCAACCAATTAACAGATATTTGATTAAGTGCTGAATAGTTATGAAAATTATAGGAGATAATATTTTATTCGTCATACGAAGTGTATCAGTCATATTTCTCCATCCATCCAATTCACAATAGTTACATACCTATTGGGATTTATTATCATGTCTAGCTTTACAATCCATGCACACACATATGGGTGAAAATCGTTTGATAGTTATTTAGATCAAATACCTGATGCGTCAGAATGTAAAGAACAGTAGAGTGGTTTACGTAACACCTATCTAGTTGCATCCCCTAAGATGTTTGTTGTTGTTCCGCAGGTGACTAACCATGAGTTTCTGTACCAACACCCCCGGGTTGTCCATCCACACGGGCTAGTCACGACATCCCTGGGTCTTCGCCTCCCCGCTGCACCACCGTTGTTTCTCCATGGCAGTATGAAGGTGCGCTGCGTGGCGAGTGTCTCACCCGTACTGTGGAAAGGGGACCGCGAGAGTGTAGTGGAGACCCCTCTAGTCACCAACAGAGAGGCTATGCTGCTAGGTATTCTACAAGAACTACCATAGTTTTTCTTTATCGTCTTTGTAGAGTTTAACTGTAATAAAGGGCAATGAGATCATAAACTCACCTCGATAAAGAAGATTTTTTCATTTCAATTGCTGATAGACATTATTTTCATTGGATGGTGATAGACATTATTATGTAGATTTTAAGGGAACCAATTTTTGTTTGCTTGTGGAGTCACCGGCTTCGGACTACAATTCGAGCTACAAGCTAATTTTGATTGGTAGCCTATGAATCAGAACCTCAAGGAGAGAGGCGCTGAGCTCTAGCCTCAAGGCCAGTGGTCTGACGTATAGTAATAAATAATCAAGCAATTGGTTTAATCTAATAACAAGCAATTTGTTTTAAAAGCTTACTCACGTTATTCCTAACTGTCCCTGACGTAACTTATTGCAATTGTATAGTTTAAAACAATTAGGTTTCACGTAAGGCAGTTTACGTATCTCTAAATGAGTTGTTGATGAAGAAAGTTTACGTTGGCTTATATTTATTCGGAAAGTAAGCGATAAGCTGTAAGAATAAATTTTAAAATTTATTCTTGCTTATAAGAATAATATTGCTTGTAAATGATCCCTCATTTACACATCCTACTGTAATGGATTTACTGTAATGTAGGAATATAGATCACATTCCGTGGTTTAATTTGTTAGTATTTTTCTTCTTTTGTCTGGAATTCATAATACAAATATTAACGTATTTCAACAGTGTACCATTATCAAACACTTTTTTTATTCCTACAAAACATTAATACAAAAAAGATACTTTCTTTCTATAAGTGAGAATCTTATACAATAATTATTTGTATAAGTAATTTTAAATTAATCTACCTTGAAGTTATGAACCGTGTATCGTTTAGACAAAATTGATTGTTATACTTAATTGGAAATCTAAACTCATAAATAACTCATTAAACACACCGTTATAGCTCAAAGTTAGATAGCACAATAAAAAGTTTGTTTGTTGAATATTACCACAGAATAATGAACAATAGCAAGCTTAGCCACATCGTTGTTGACTTGTAGTTTCTGCGAATGTTGATGGGAATGTGGAGGAGTTAGAGATAATACTGAAACTGGGTTTTGTTATTGTTCATAATGAATAAACCTACTAGAGCTCGGACTAGCAAGACAGTCACATTGTGAGAAAACTGTTTGCTGCATAGTTACTCGTGCATAAAGCCACATGATAACGCTGGCATAACTGTTTTCATAGCTATAAACAAGTTTTCAATTACCCTCTTTACATAGTAATTTTTACTTTTATCGATATGGGAATGGTATCAATTAGATTAGGCTACATATATTGTGCAAACAGTTACCATAGTTGATGTAAACACTTTATTAACAAATTAAAACATCGATTAGAAATCTATTAAAATTAAGGTTATTGATAAAGGTTTAAAATTTAAAAAGACAAAATCGAAAGAGATGCTTATAAGTCATACGATTAGATGGTCACAATAAATTAATATATCTGATACAATTTATAAGCTAAGGTAATTTATTACAAATAAGTTAAAAGTTACAAAATTGAAAGAAAAAACATATCCTTCAGTAAGATTTGCGTTAATAACCCTTTGATGTAATAACCTAATAAATTGATTTACCATTATCTAAATAATAATATAATAGATAGCTCTATGAAGCGTATAATACTATTGGTTCAGCCAATTCATAGACGACGAACCTTATTTTCGTTGAACTGACAAGCTTGTTTTATTACAGTGAGAAACACAGCTGCTGGTGACGTCATCAGTCCCACAATCCTGAGTGTTCTTCTTCTGCTCACAAGGGTGACGTGATTTTCTCTCCAAGAAAATGGTCGTTCGCTGAAAGTGTATCTTTTGTAAATAGTTGAAATATTTGTTCGTTTTATTCTGTAATGTATTGGAAATAATTTGCAACTAAATGGACATGATATTTTTACTAACATAGTTTATTAAGTCAACTCTTATGATACGAATGTATACAATGTCAATGTTGTCAAAAGGGTTAATTGTTAGGATATTTATTTTATTTTATAAAAGTACATGTAAAATAGAAAATTAAACAAACATGTATAACAGTATATTTAACGATTAATTGTTGTTATTATGTCTTTGAGTGATAGGTTAACTTAGAAAGTATATTATTTGCTTGTTATGCCATTCCTTATAATGGAGTAATTTATAATATCATTAAAAGACAAAGAATGTTTTGTAAATACAGTATTTTATTAACGTTGGGGGATTATTACTACCACCCTCTTTATACCAGAGAATAATAAAATGTTTAATTGTCAAATGCATTCCGTTTATATATGGTTGCAATAACAAATTAGGCCTAACAGAACTTTATGTTTTCTGCATAAAGTTGAAATGCACATGCATACCATTGAAGTACGACATAAAATTCATAAAAATCATTTTAAATTGTCAGAACAGCAAAGTATTGCTTGCTTTTTAAATATAGTAAATATAAAACTAGTAGCCAGCGTCACTTCGTGACTTCAAAATCCGTGATAAGGGTAAAAACGATTATTTCTCATCATATCCCTATTATTTGCATTGCGTTCCCTATTATGTTTTCATTTAATGCAAGATCTCTTCGAGGCATCTACGAAAAATTATAAATACTAATGAAACATTACATGAAAACACAAAATCTATCGTAGGTCATTCTTTTCTTTTCATTTTAAACAAATAAAATTACAATATTTTACTTGAATTTACTATAACATTAATAAAACATACCACGAAAACACAAAATCCTATCACAGCACAAAATCTAACGTAAATAATTTTCTTCTTAACATTTTATACAACTAACATTACAATATTTTACTTGAATTCATTAAAACATGAACAACTGTATAAATGATAATCCCAATTTCGTATGTATGTAAACAAAATTATATCATGGCCATATGTTTTGACGTAAAAAATATAAACTTGAAAAAGATACTGTTTTAAAAACATCTTCATAGATATATTTTGTCTGAAACTTGGAATCTGTAAGGAAATTATCCCGGTTTACTGTAAAACAAAATAAGCGTCTATTTTTAACCTACTACGTGTTAACTACGTTTGATTGTTTTGTAAAGTTACAATTAATTCAATTCCCTTAAACAACTGTATCATATAACGAAATTCTCATGAAATTAAAATGACCTCGAACATCATCCACTTACAAAAATAACTTTAAACATGTTGAAAAATACAGGATAAGACAGTTTCTTAGTAAATTTTTATGTAAAATTTTATACGTAAGTGATAAACTGACGACCAGCTCATACTTCCTGTCTAAAACAAAGTTATAGGTGATTTTCATCTTGCCTTTGAGAAATCTGACACCATTCACTTCTCTTGAGGTAAAGTAGATTCATACACTTTTGAAAACAACTTTCCTTAAACCCACTTTCACACAGTTGTTATTGAACATAATAGATTTCTGATCACTTAAGATTATTAGACGCCCGTCACTCCGTCTACCAATTAATCGAATCGCATTGTCTGGAATTAATTTTGCGCACTGTATTCAGTTGATCATATGCTGATTCATATTTACAATTGCTGATTTTTATCTTAAAATTATCCAGCTCACACGCAGGTCTAGATCTGACTTACAGTAAACCAACTCGCTTCCCCACTAGCCCTGAATTACCCACTTACTTGAGATTTGTATAGTAAAGGAGAATAATATCAATGTTGATTTTTCAAAGAAATCAACACGTATTTATAAGTTTACATTTTATTTTGTGAAAGTTACATAAATACGTCACATATAGCTTAGCAATTAAAATTAAATTAAACATTTGAAAAAATGGTACGATTATTTGAAAAAGTTTGATGCTAATGAACAGAGCTCAGGCTGAGGCACTGATGGGCCAATGAACTTAATATAGAATTTGGTGTGGTGCAAAACTTAATAAATAATAAATAAAAAAAACTGTGTAATAACACTAATAATATAAAACACTATTCAATGACTAAAACAATTTCAAACCTGAAGAAATTAGTTTCTTTTATTTTATACATAAGAGTTGTGTGACCTTATCGCTTTTGTGAACATTGGTTAAAGAATTGGAAATTAAAACTGGCTACATTTTGCTACTACTAATATAATTGTTGTTCCTCTCCAGTTTTTTATACTTTAAAATTAGTTTACTCTCCGGTCTAAAGAAAAGAACTGTTAATAACGCTATAAAATGTTATTAAGATATTATATATAAATTTAAGAAGACAATTAATTTTGGATATTCCACCATTTAAAATAAATTATTAACGAATACATTCACGTTGACAAGATATACGTGAACTTTATATCTTTGAACATACACACATACACAACTTTCCAAGATAATGATGTTTACCTGTAATCGAAAACATTTTCATTACGAACAAACTATTTGGTAATTTTATTTTAGATACATTTGACATAAATTTTATTGATCATAGTTGAATTGTGATTTGTAAAAAATAAACAATATTTTTCTGTATCACTTTGGTGTTTTATAATCCGTAATAAAATGATTGTCTTTTCAGCCCTGTTATTATATCAACGGCATATGCGGCGTTATTTCCTACATGTACAGGACCTGAGTACGTTAAGATACCTTGGTATCAGATATTCGATTATTTCTCAGACATTTATAGTCAGAGGATATACTATGTTTGTATGGACCAAATACATTCCACTGCCCTTATTTGTTAATGCTCACATGACAGTTTTCCTCATAGAGAGTCAAGCTGTGAGGTCAAACATTTCTTTTGCAGTGTTTTAAAACTTGTGTTGTAAAATTCTCATCCTACCAAGTGTGAGAACTTCAACATAGGTCAGTTTCATGATTCAAAAATATCAAGACCGAATTACGTTAAACACAAAATGGAATTTTCGCTAGGAGATTAAACAAACCGTTGCAGCAATCCGACAAACAGCTCTTCTCACATTAACTTGTCAACAGCTGTTATTAGGTAGGTCGAGGAAATAATTATGATATTTTATGAACAAAATCACAAAAAATAAATTACGTAATTTTTACTGCTTTGTGGGTTGTACTATTTTATTTATTTTTTTTTTATAACAGGGCCAAATTATTGACTTCTAAAGTTTAATCAAAATCATTGAAATTTTTTGTGGGAATATGATTTGTCTTTTTTATGGAGAAAATCTCCATTAAAAATAGAGGTTTTTACTAGTTAAATATGGTGAGATATCAAAAATGTGTTCAAGTTATTATAATAAAAATCCTAAGCATTTGTTTACAATATTAAATCCATTGTTAAAAACGTTTAGTCTTACGAACTCAGTGTTGCATCATGTCCACTCAGGTCCTACTAAATATTTTCCACTGGGATAGTTTTTAAAATACCTACCTCTAAAATACCTGTAGGTACGATTATTTGAAAAAGTTTGATGCTAATGAACAGAGCTCAGGCTGAGGCACTGATGGGCCAATGAACTTAATATAGAATTTGGTGTGGTGCAAAACTTAATAAATTCCTATCCTCTATTATGTTACAATAATAACTATCGTATACAATTTTCAAGCAATATAAACTGCAGTATAAAAATGCATCTAAAGGATCTGCACACATCAAACGTTGGAATTCCTTAAAAACAGTACAATTCCATTTAAAAGATTTGTTGGTACAACTCAGAAAAGTGTCTGTTTGTATATTACAGTTTCATATTTAAAGATGTCCTCAAAGAAATCACTGCTTACTTTAAAATATTTAACAATTTAATAATCTATGTAATTGTAGTTTAGTCAAACATTACATTCGTGAGAGTACAGCACACGGTACCAATGACAACAGCTACAGTGTGTGTCCCAATGCCGGAGGTGACATCTCGGTATACACAAAGGATAAGATGACAGATGTATACGGAGGCAGAACACAACAATGCTTGACACGCCTTCATAGAATGCTGTCTTGGACTAGTCAAGTCACTTAATTTGTTCGCTGAAAAATGAATCACATAAACTCTAAAACCGTTCTGCAAAAACTTTTGCGTAATCAAAGCAAACTATAATTTTTGTTTATTATATTCTAATGTATATTATATGTAATTAACTATAATTTGATTTTTGAGTTATTTTAAGACCAATTACTATGTATCGTCAATCATTTTGTGCAATAATCTTAGTTTTTGTAGCAAAATTGCTTGGGTTTAAAATGTGAGTAGACTGACTTTTAAAATTAGTGCATTACAAACCTCCCAAATATGTTTGGTTTTTATTACAATTCAGCTTATGCCTAGGCGTACAAGGGATAAATGTACACGATCAAAATGTATTTTACTATTTTTCTAGGTTCTAGAACGGAATCGTTTTCCACACTAGGCTAGGTATACAAATAAGAAAATCCATAGACGAATCCAGTCGCAGCCAACCTCTTTTACAAGGCTGCAGTTGTATAAATATTTACATCTCTGCAGACTCTCAATACCAGTAAGTATTGGTTGACCCTTTTGATTCCCTTTTGTGAGTTTTCTAAGCATATATTTGTATCTATATATTCCCTTTGAATAAATAACAATAAATAACAGAAATGTATTGTACAACAACGAAGTTTTCTAGGAATTTCCGACGAACAAAGTTTAGTAAGCAAAAAACCTACCTAGAGAATAAATAGTGTTATTATACTGGTTAGTTTGTTGTCTACCTAAAATATTCATTGTCCAAAGGGCTTTAACTATTTCACATTAGCTAAATTTGAATAAACCCAATAACATCATAATTTAGTTTAAACTTAGTATTAATGTAATTTTAATGAAAACAATTATTTAAACAAAAAATATTTCTTATGTATAAAGGACTTTATATACAAATATTATTAATTTTTAGGTAGGTAGGTAAATTGTTTGACATTCGTTTGATGTTCATATTGTACTGTACAAACATCTACGATCACACGTTTTGAACGGAAGATCGGAAAATAAATTTAAATAATAAATTACACATCTAAAATATAAAACACATTTTTCTCTAATTTTTTTAAATGTGAATTTTACACAACATTTTATAGTTTTAAAACCATTTATTAAATTGTGGGGATGCTCAAGATTCAAACCAAACTTCCAATAACATTCAGTTTCGTTAATCTTGTTTTGAAATCAAAATGTAGTGATTATTCAAAAATACTGGCGTACGACAATCACTTCTACGACGATT